TTCTTATTTTGTCCTATTCTCTTCATTAAGTCCATTTTCTCCAATTTACAACCCATAAGCTTTTTTTGTTTATTTTTCATTCATTTCGACTTGAGCTTTGTCCTTCTTAATTCACTTCTTCTCAATCAAGCCTTTCTTACTTTCTCTTAGACACGTTACCTTGTTTTTTCCTCACTTGATATAGGTTGCACTCCATTTCTTTATTTCTTTCCCAATAACCTATTCTTTATTTTGACCCTTCCGCCCACCCTCTCTTCTCACTCAGTGTCTCCTTTTTTATTTTTTACCACCTTGTTGACTTTAGCACCCCTTACCTTTCTCTTTTGTCTTGTCTCAACTATTCCCTTTTCTTTTTTTTCTTTTTATCACTTGCAATCTCTTTTTCTACCTACGTCTTTTTTTTCTTTTTTCATCTTTTTTTCTTCCCAAGATTTTGTGAAACCTTAACTTTAAATTAAGGAATATAATGGTAAATCTTTAGGTGAGCTTGTAAATTTCTTGTTTTAAGTCAATATTTTGAACTTTCACCTTTGGAAATTCTTATGCTTCAAGCTACCAAGTTGATTTGATAAATAGTAAAGGGAGAGGAGTCAAATAAATGTAATTTCAAGTGAATTTTTACATTATGGATAGAAGTATCGATACTTATGAAGAAGTTATTTGATACTTCTGCCTAAAAACCTATTAAAAAAGATTTTGAAAAACAAGAATTGATACTTTTTTCAAAGATGTTGATACTTGAGACTTAAAAATGAAAGTATTGATTATTTCTCTCAAAGTTTTGATACTTGTTGATATTTTCACAAAAATAAAAATGGTAAAACAAACTTTTCACTTTAAAAGTTTCCCTATTAGGTCAAATTTAACCTCTCTTCAACCTTTGTTAGCCACTTTTTACTCTTTTCTCAAAACTCTCAATATTTCTCATCCTTTCTCACTTAAAAACCTCCTTTTTTGAAGATTTGAATATGGTTTTCAATCTTGAAATTAGCAAAGGTAAGTTTCTACATTTAAGCTCTTTAAATCTCTAGTTTTCAAATCCAATTTCAACCTCTTTTGACAAATTTGAGTTTCTTTCTCTAAGGGTTTGGAGTGCAACTTGATTTTCTCTTTCTACAGGCTCACTAAGGTAAGAACAAGATAGATTTAAGTGTTTAAGGTATTGGTTTATTTTTCGGTAGTAGATAAGTAAGTTGAAAAATTAGATTAGACAAGATTTAGTTAGGGTTTGAAATAGCTTTGCTTCAAATTTTAGGATTTATAAATTAAGTTATGGCTTTGATTGAATGATTGTTGTTATAGGATATGGTGAAACTCCAAGGATCGATTTGGAGTAAGGTGTTGGTGTTTTGATCATGTGCTAATTGATGAATTAGTCAATATGGGTGGGCACGATGTTTTAAAGTGTTTGGAAACATATAAAACGAAGCATGTTTAATGAGTTCTTTGTTTTAGATGATTTCAATGTTACTTTTTTATGAATATGAATGATCTAGCATCTATTTAAATGTTTTCAAATGTATTTACATTAAGTAAATATGTATACTATGTAGTAGTTTTATACAAAAGGGGACAAGCCCTTTCAAATGAATTTTATGATGGTATGGTTGATATGGAATTGATGCAGGACTTGATGAATACAAATGAAGAGGAATAAATACCCACCCTTATGATAATGAAATGGACATGATGTATATATATATGATTATGTCAATGATAAGCATGGGTTTGATTGAGTGCATAAGAAACATGTACTCGGTAATATGAGTATGTTGGATAAATATGAGTTACAAAGTAATTATGATGTTGCATGTTGCTGAGGTGTTAAATCCTACACAAATATGAGGGCCTTGATGTGGGGCGTTGTACCACATAATTATATAGCCTTGAGATGGGGCAAACATACCACTTAGTGTATGGCCTACATATAGGTGTGCATGGAATTCATTACATGGCTTACATAATGAATGCATAGTGCTAATGATGTTATGATCTGTATTTGCTGTGATATTGTTGTAAGAGAAGTGAAATATGTTGCGATTTTATGTTCAAGTTATGCCTTTCATGTGTTTTGAATGAGATACTAGGAGGTATAGCAAGTATAGATGATAATTGGATTTTGGTGACATGTATATGATGAAAATTGTCCAATTTTTGGATTTTTATGAATGAAATATTGATACTTGAAGAACAAAGATCGATACCTAGCAAGCAGAATGACTTAAAGAAGCATTTTTTGTGAAAAGTATAGATACTTCCTCAAAAAGTATTGATACTTATCGTCCAAAAAGCCTTTTGGATTAAAAAAAAAGTATCAATACCTAAGGTACATAACAATTTATTCTTTCCTTGTAAATGGTTTTTCGCTTGTTTTTAAGTTCCTTTTTCATTTCAAACTCTTACGTGACTTTGATTTCAATTAAAATCAATTGCATGAGTTTGAAAACAACTTATTTCAAGGATTTGAAAGAAGATTGATGATTACTGATAAATTCATGATTATATCAAAGTTTTCACTTGTTTTTAAGTTCCTTTTTCATTTCAAACTCTTACGTGACTTTGATTTCAATTAAAATCAATTGCATGAGTTTGAAAACAACAGTATTTCAAATATTTGAAGGAAGATTGATGATCACTGATAAATTCATGATTATATCAAAGTTGTGGTTATGCAAAAGCTCTTCTCCTTTGACTTGTCCCTTTCTCGTGTTTGCTTATTGAGTTTATAACTCACACACGAAAGATGAACTTGTTTGTACAAATTAGTAGCTTGCATACTTGGCTTGACACCTTGTGGAGGAGACCTTCAGCTCATACTTGATAGGTATAGGAGAGTCCTTCTTTCAAGACCCCAATATTGGTCGCACTCCGTTATCATGTTGGGTCCATAATGCTAGTTACTTTTCATGTTGAGACTTTTGGATATGTAGTCCATGTTGGCAAAATGTTTATATATATTTACTCTTGATACAAGTTGTTTATGTTGAGCATCAAAAGGGTGTAGATACTTGTATCTATGGTAATGAGGCCATAGATGGCATTAAGCATGCGATGTGGGCTAAATTAATGCTAAGTGCAAAAATGTGGAAATTGTTGGAAATTATGCTTGTCTTGATGTTACATGATATGATTGATATGATGTACACAAACACCGACAGGTGTATAGCAATTATTGTGTGAACAAGGATGTCATGTGTAAGGCTTGTTTGGATTTAGTGGTTTATACCATATAAGCCCTTACGCCGATCATGGCCTTGAGATTGGGTTATGGCAGATTTTTATCTCTCAATCTTTAGAATTTGAACATCCCTCTTTCCCACCCTTCTCTTCCTTGGCTGAGCTGTCAATTCCCCTCCAACCCACCTGCACCACATTTGTGTTGCATGCCATGTCATCATCTTTTCCATTTCTCTCTACTCGGCTCGAGTTCATGATTTGTTTTTCCGTGGAAAGGTTCTCCCATTGCTTTACACTATCACCTTCCACAACCTCATTGTTTTGTTGAATTTTTTCCATGTCTTCCATGTAGATTTCATTGACAAAAAGCTGGTATTTCCTATCCCCAACTAATAGCTCTATTTGTTCTTCAATCCTCTGTTTTTGTTGTGTAAAAATTGACATTCTCCCCGCACTAAGTTCCGGTCATTTAAGGTCTTTCATCAGCAATCAACGACTCCCCGCAGCATTTTGCGATACTCTTAAAGGTGCTACGGTACCATGCATGTGCTAGGACCCCTTTTACCGCTACCCACTTATGCACATAGGGTGTTGAGAAATCAATGGACCATGCTTCAATCGACTTAAACCATTTGTTTAGCCAACCCCAATTCTCCTTTTTCAGCTCTTCAAAACTGGTTTTATCATTGACGGCTACAAGAAAATAATTTGGTGCCAAGTTACTCACCCTTAGTTGTTAGTTTCCTTCCATGCTCAAGAACTCTTGGTGAATTGCAGCTGATACTCTATCCTCGGAGCAAGCAATGAAGTATTTTTTCAAGGCCAGCAAGCAGTGATACTCGACTCCAAGTTGTGTAAATTTGTAATATTGATATCACCTTTACAGCTCCTGGGTCGTTTCTTTATCCCATCTTCCAGATTCCACGGCTCACCTAATTTACCTTTTGTACCCTTTAGCGCCAGAGCATGGGATTTATGTTCATATGCCTCCGTTAGGTTCTCCCCTACTGGTTTCCTGTTTTCTTCTTCTTTTGCTTCACCCTTTTGTGTGATTCTGTCCTTCCCTTCTTTCTCTCCAGAAGTTGTCCCTTCCTCCATACCTTGCAATATGAACCCCAAGTTTTTGATTGAAGAACCATATATCCCGTTTGGTTTCCCCTCTGCTCGTCTACCTTCTTCTTCCTTATCGAATCTAACAAAATCCAATCTCTTTCCTTCTTTGCTCCGTTTCTGTGCCATAAACACATCTTGAAGCTTGTTGTTAAAGAAAACTTGAATGCAAATTTCAATGGCCTAGGACAAGGCGCAGCTCTAGGGTGGGCTACCTCAGCACGCATTGCTGCGTACAGGATCTTTGTTATATTTGACCTGCTATGAGTTAGGACATGCGGTAGCGGGGAACGATAGAATTCTCCATGGAAAAACAAATGGATGGAATTCTTATATTATTTCATAAATTTTAGTGATGGCTGTTGGTTTACTAAAATAACTTATAAAAAATATTATTTCATTAAAATAACATAAAACAAATTTGATAAACTCACATAAGAGGTGAATAGAACAACTGCCAATGAAGTTCCTTGTCATTGTAGAATCATTAAATTCGAGATGTGCTTAATTTATTGTTAAATTGATCAACCAAGATAGGATGGATGAGCTGAATCAATTTACTCTTTCAATGAAGTTTTTTCTTTAATAAAAATGGATTAAGAGTTTTTATATATATATATATATATATATATATTTGTTTAAAAAGAACTAAAGCAGAGAGTTTTTTAAACTTTTTTTTTTCTGTTATCAATGAGAAGAGATGTGTAACTTAATTTGTAAAGAAAAACGGGGAGCACTGTACTACAGAGCACATTATATAAAGGATAGAGAGAGAAATCACCTTCAAATATGAATGAATAACTACAAGAATTCACAAAATCTGACAAGCTACTTCAGCAAATAGCAACTGAAAGAAAAGAAATATCCTCTACTCTGCTTTGATTTGCTTTTGTCCACCTCGCATGACTGCAAGACCAAAGGATCCCACCATCCCAACTCCATAACCAGCCATGGCTCCATAACTCACACAGATTGGCCAATCCTGTGAAGGAAGTTAATTAAAAACATCATGCCTTTCTGTATGCAATACTACATTCAAATAAACTCAAATCAGATGAACCTCCCTTGACAACTGAACAAACATGAGTAGCATCTTATAGCTTACGAAAAAAAGGAAACAACTTTACGCCTAAGCTCAATGGTCTAAACCCAAGACCAAGCTATACAGAACCAAGTATCCCTGCATCATATTTGAATAACTACAGCCATCTAAAGACCCTTCTCCACTCATAAGTCATAACAGAGCTGTAGTCACTAAAAGACTAAGAAATGTCAGCTTCTGAAGCTGCCTGATGTGAAGTATACATTAACAAAGCCACAGGAATAAGCAACACCAATAGCAGATAGGACATTTTTGCAAGCTAGCTACTCATACAACATATTCTGCCCACTCATTCACCCTAAAATCTTACGTGCTATATGGTTAAAAGGAAATATAGGCTCAGGCATGCCAGCATAACAGTATTCAAGTGACTACACAAATATGAATTTGACGCCAAGTCAAAAAAATATAATCTTATTGATCAGGTGCATCTATCTAACAGGTTGAGAAAATTTCCCAACATTAAACTTCCACTTTTTTTTCAATAAACTTCAATTCCATGTCCAGCTGGGGGAACAGAACATTATTGAACTAATCTGTCCAACAGAATGCATACAAAAGTTAAGGCATACCTGGAAGAGGACAATTTGGTAACTAAGGCAACCCTCCTGTAGGACTGGCATCTGTCATTACATTCTATTTAAGTTTCATTCAGTGTGTCATTTATAAGACCCACTTGTCTAACCGATGACCTTAATTGAGGGGTATCAGCTCTATTAATTGGAAAAAAATTCTTGGAAACATAAATTTCTTTGAATAAGACATGTTGAAGTACTATTTTGTGTTTTCTACCATATTCTGTCTTCTCCCTCAGCATTATTTTCCATATTATAAGAACTAGATTCATCATAATAATTCTACGGTTTAACTCATTAGTCCCATGAAAAACAAAAAGGAAGAATCCAACCATAAAAAGAAAAGAAGGGGGGGGGGGAGAGAGAGAGAGAGACCATACAAGTACCCAACAATTGAGCACAGAATGAACATATATGGCAAGGAGAAACATTCCTATTTTATCCATTAACGATAAAGAAACACAATCAAATCAGAAAATTAATGTGAAAACTTAAAATTTTCAGTCACAAGGAATTGAAGGGAGGATATGGTACCTGCCAAGGCCTTTCCCAATCAAGTGGCATAGGCCAAGCACCAAACCAAGCTCCAATCACAGCTCCATGCGCTGGTAGACAAAGCATAAAATCCAAAGATCCCTTCGGCCTAAGAGAGAATGATATCAATAACCAATATTAGCACATACCAAATCCTTGCATAAAAAAAAAACACATCTCAATCAACATTCTTTAACAAGTAATGCCTACATGGATAAGACAGCAACCTCTTTTCAATTAATCAGCTTTCCCATTAATGAATTCACATATTGCCACCATTTTATTGCAAACCTAACCATATGTAGCATAAACCTTCGATGTTAAGAACCACATGTTATGAAACTTCGTTTCCATTACAACATTGAGCTCAAAGATTTAGATTCAAGTATTTGCTATGCAATGATTAGTGCAACAGTGTAGCGACTGAACCCCCCAATTGAAGGTAAAACTGTCTGTGGGCTATTTGAGAAGAATATATCTATGTAGAAAAAGTTGAATAAATTTCAAAGAATGAAGCCAGTCATCTTACCCAGTGAGTTGCACACAACTAACTTGATGCTATAATAAGCAAAAGATCTAAACTATTACCAGGTCTCATGCAAAATGAACAAACGTGAAAAACAAGAAGCATAATGCTTGCAACAAATATGGAGCTAGCATTTATGGAAGAAAAACTTACTTAGTACATGCAAATATGCGATGCCAATCTGTCCAAGATGAACCATAAACAGAAGTTGCAGGCACAAACTGCAAAAATGAACCAAAGTGTAATTTAGTGCCTGTAGAGAGAAGAAAGGTTCACATTGCTAGTAATCTTGGAGAACACACACAACACAACTAGAGTGCAAATAATTATGTCATAGCTAATACTAATCTCAATACTGCTTATTGCCTAAAAAGAAACAGAAATAAAATGATAATCAACAGAGTATCCATGTAAAGATAGTAAAAGAAGGAAAAAAAGTAAGAGAATTGCTTTAAGAGATACCTTTGGGAGTTCCACAAACAAAATTTAACTTTCCAGAATGAAATAAACATAAAAAGATATTGCCATTTTCCACGTAAGTATGCATGTCCACCACCCAATACGAATATTAAGCATTCAAAGCTGTATGGTAATGCTGAAAATTTCCTATGTAATGTCAAAAAATATATTATAAATAGACAATGATAAGAAAATTTTGAATGCTTACAGTGAATAAAGACATCAGAAGAGACCAGATAATGGTCTTTTCAAAGTATCTGCATCCAATAAGAGAGGAACAAAATTAATACATGATTTTGCAATTAACTGACTTCTAAACCATAATGAATAACAAAAAAATGGGCTGCCAATGCCATAGATAAAATCTTAGTAATGCCAAGACACAGATTATCTACATGCTAGATGACGTACTGCAAGCCAACGGGTGAACCCAAAGCTAATGCTCCAAGCACATTTACTAGAGCCCCTACAAAGTGAAAGAAATACAAGTTACACAACTCAATTGGTGAAATTATATTGAAAAGTCACCACTTTAACACTAACCGGCAGGAAGTCCCACTAGGCCTCGAGCAACAGCTTTCAAATACTGTAAAAACCCGTCACAACAATTTAAAGAAAAACAGATAAAAAGCAGTGAAAACAAATTATTGATTAAATTCACTGTGATTGCTGGCTAACCGAGCATTTCTCTGGTTTCTTTCTAAAGCAGCTGAAAAGAAGGATCACAACTGGACATTCAATAGCCTAACAAAAAAACAAAAAGTATGTAATAAATAAATTCTTAAACAAGAGTAAGTTTAACTGATAATCTAGAAGGTGAAAGAAATGAATAAAAAATTACCCAGATCAAACGGAGGGTATTGGTGGGATCAGAGATGAGATTGATGGAGTAGACATTGTGAGCCACCCAAAATCCAACGGCCAAGGCCAGTCCGCAGCAAAGATGAGTCAAAAATACTTGGGAAGATGATATTCTTGATAGGGAATTCTTCTCCTTCTCGTTCATTTTATGGTTCGATTTTGTCTGTTGGAAGAAAAACCCAACTGAGACTTTGACTCACTCCAGTTTAGGGTGTTCCCTGCTTTGGATGGGCCAAAACGGAGAGAAAGAAGTGCTTGGTCTACTGTATTGGCTGCCACAGATTTGTTGTATGTCAAGTTCGAGTACTCCAACATGGTTAATATTTGTGGTAGAAAAAGGATAAGTTTCAATCTACCAAAAACAAGTTGGATTTCAAAGTACAATCTATAACATATATCAAAATTGTCGCTAAACATGTGTGGTGATAACCCAATATTTCTGGACGCCAAACCCCACAAAAATTGACCCAAGATGAGGCCTCTATCATATCCTCAACTGATTTCCAACCCATTTATGCTAACACCTACACAAAATACTTACGAGTAAGAAAACAAAATAGAAACTAAAGCCGACACGAGATCTGGCTTGATTGAATTGACTCTTAGTCCAAGAAAGAAAACATTAACAGAACAGATAAGCACAGTAAAAACCACTCCAAAAAAAAAAACCGAGTCTTTTCCTCCCAATAGCACATAATCCAATAATGTGACACTATAATCTATCTAGTCCCTTCAAAATCACCATGTGATCACATCCCATTAAAACTAAATCTAACGTCTTTACCTCCCAATAACACATAATCCAATAATGTGACACTATGTGATCAACACCGATTAAAACTAAATCTAACGCCTTTTGGAAGAATTAAAAACACCCATATAAAAAATAACACATTAAATACAAAATAAATCAATTCCCGATTTAATTCAGCAAAGAATAATTATTTTTGGGATCACTTATTGCAGAAGAAAGAAACATGAATGCATAAAGAATACAAACAAAACTAAAACTCAACGAGAATTATTGAATTAAAATTACCTGATTTAATGGATTATTAGAGAGAGACAAAGACAAATATGTTTTTCTTTTGTTTGGAGAGAAAGAGGTCGGTGATACGAACAGGGTAGATTTCGAGGTATTTATACAGTTTTAAGAGTGAAGGAGACCTTGCACCTCGGGATATACAACGGTGGCTAGGCTTTTTCAGAAAGAGAGGAAACTGGAATCAGAAGGAACGGTAATGAGAAGAAAAGACGAAAGCGGAGGAAATAGTGAGCCGCCGCCGGAAAGGCCTAGGCCGGCGAAGGCGACGGCGCCCAGAACCGAGAAAGGGTAAGGGTTGAGAGAAAAGGGTTGGCTGCTAAGGCTTGTCGGAGAAGAAGAGATGAGCAAAAACGAAGGTAGGGAAAATGATAGGGGTTTACTGCTAGGATTAAGCCAATATTTATGGGATTATCAAAACTGCGTCGTTTCGTTGGATTCAACAAGTTAAAAAAAAACCAAAAGGTCTGTCGGATCAGCCCAAGCCCAACCCGGATCCGCTGTAGGCAAAGCAGATTTGGGTCAAACCCAACAACAATTGAGGTATTTCTAACCCATTGTTTTACACTTTAATTATTTATTTTTTCATGTAATTTCTATTTTTATGCATGAATTAAATTTATGAAAGTACTTTTAAAAAGGATTAAGAATAAAAGTAAAAAATTAATTGATTAAATTTAATAATTACTTACCAAAATTATTGGGGGACTGAAGATTATTTTCACAAGATGAATTCATTCTAAATAAATATAAAGGCATAGGATAAAAATTAACAATTAAAATTACTTCTCAAAAATATTAGTAATTAAAATTGAAGATAAATTACAACATTTCATCATTAAAATTAAGAAAATTTTAATAAGTTTACCTAACATTTGTTTCACTTTAATAATTTTATTATATAAATTTATGTAGTTTATGAATAATATATTATATTTTTTGAATTTTAATTTTATTTTGTTACTAAAATCATCATAATTAAAATATAATTATTTAACATTAGTATATATTAAAATATAAAAAAAACCTTTTCAAAAATTAAAAATTATTTGAAAAAAAATTGCACCCACTCGAATTAGGAGCACCACTCTAGTTATATGTAAATAAGGTATTCGCACTCCAAAACATTCCTTCAAAAAATTATTCCAATTAATCAAGTGTTGTTATTTTCTGGTCTTGATAAATAGTCTTTTATTTTATATTTAATATAATTTCCTTTATTTATTATTATTCTTTTCTTTTCTTTTTTCTTTTTATATATTCCACGTTTAAGTATTAGTGGTTTTTCAGAGATTTCACAACACTTTGTCTTAAGGAAATCCTCCTCACGTCAAAGGTACTCAAAAAAATTATTTATTTTCTTGAAAAAGCTCCAATGATTGGATTTCTTCGATGTTTCATAAGATGATCTTAATTTAATTTTTTTATTATTTGATATTGTTCTAATTTTCTATCATTACTTTATTTTGTTTCTCTTTTTAATGATCCCTTTATTTATTGAATTGAACACTTAGCAATCCCTTCAATAGCAAATAAAAATTTTATATTGAAAGTTCTTTAAATTCTCCCAACAGTTTAGTGAAATTTTAGAAAATTTTCCTCATCAAAGAATTTCGAGAATGTTTTCACTTGCAATTACCTTGAAAATTCCACCATTCTTTAGATTTTCATTTTTTTGCATAATAAAAATTAAAATTCAAGTGATGCAAAATTAATATTTTATTGAATAAAAGATGAAAAATCTTTTCATTGTAATTTTTTTGGTCAAAATACTTATCAAGTCCCTGTATTCATGTATTTGTTTAATTTAGTCCCTATACTCAAAATCAAAATAATTTAATCTCTTAATTTTGAGAGTTGTTTCAATTTAGTTCCACCTCCTAACAATATTCAATTTTACCATTAAGAGTGATGACATCAACGTTGACCTGACACATTTTGATGAGGTGGTACGCTACGTAGCACCAATGTGTTGATGTAGTAGTGTCATATGGCACTAATATGATGGCGTGATACTGCTGACATGTCAATGCCACGTGACAGATCAAAAAAAATTTCAAAAAAAGTTATGTCATGTCATAGGGACTAAATTGAATAAAAATATATAAAATAAGTAATAACCTTAAGTTTGATGCTAATAACCAGGTTTGATAGCTCCACACAATTTCAACATACTAAGTAGTAATTATTACATAACCTTAAGTTTTAGTAAATATATTTCCAATAAACTATTAATCATTATAAGCCTGACTATTTGACATAACATGACCTCTAGACAGCGGAGCGACTCAGAGTGGAAGTCTAAGAGATGCTATTACCTAGGTTGTAGCCAGTCTCGAGGTGCTGAACAATGCAC